GGCTCGTCGCGGGCGGCGCCGCGCCAAGAGCAGCACACCTGGCCGGGTCCCATCAGGATGTCGACGTGGTCGAGCTTGTGGAGGATGGCCGAGATCGCGTCCAGCGGCAGCTCCGCCCAGTTCCTCGTCTCCTCCGCCGGCACCGGCGCCGTAGGCGGATGGAGGCCGCGTCTTCCGTCGCACTCGCCTGGACGACGGCTGGACGAGGAGGAAGAGGGCATCGCGCTGGGCGGCTGGAGAGGGTTAGGGTTCGGGGGAGGAAGGCGCGGGAATGGTGGACAGTTTTTTTCTAGGGGGAGAACGATGGACAGTTTTTGGGAGGAGCGATGCCGAACGGAGAAGAAACCCGGGCAATAGAAAGGTGCGAGGCTCGTGGGCCTACGGGCCCAATAGGAGCCTCGAGAGCATTTTCACGATCAGGAAAGCGCGGCCTCTTTTCCCCTGAAACAGAAAAAACAAACTAAAGCGTGGCCTCTTTTCTGGAAATATCCCCAGGTTGCGACGAATGGCGCGCTGCATGTGTGCCACTTGTCGTAACCAGGGAGTTTTTCTTTTTTTCGTAGATTCGTTTATTCGAAACATTTTATCTCTCAAATTGTGCGTCCAAATCTCGAACTGTTTCACCGTTGAATTTCTCGTGTCGAGATTTTCAAAACTAGATTCCATGTTGATAGGTTTTGACGAACTTTTTTTTTACGAAAAAAATCAGACGAAAAAACCGAACCAGAAGCACGAGTTTTTTCCGTTTCCGAAAGAGGCACGCCCGTGCCTCTCGTGAAAAGCACAACCGTGCCTCTCGCGGAAGCAAAACCATACCTCTCGTGGAAGGAAAAAACAGAAAACGTGTTTTTTTCGTTTCCGAGAGGCACGACCATGACTCTCGTGAAAGCACAATCGTGCCTCTCGCGGAAGCAAAACTGTGCCTCTCGGAAAAGAAAAAAAAACAGAAAACGCATTTTTTTTTTCTGTTTTCGAAAGGCATGGCCGTGACTCTCGCAAAAGCACAACCGTGCCATTCGCGGAAGTAAAACCGTGACTCTCGTGAAAGAAAAAAAATATGCTTTTTTCACGCAAAAAAATTTTCAATTTTTTTACCCAAAAGCTAAGGAAGGCCGGTGAAAACCAAAACGTCAAAAAAACCCTGGAAAAAACCGTTTAAAAAAACGAAAACTTTATGAAAAAATATATTAAAAAGAGCGTCCAAAGTGCGACATGTGACGGGCGGCTGAGAGCATGACAAGTGACACTGATCGTTATATTGGACGCATCGTTGTGGGATCGAGTGCAAACGCACAGGAATCGAGCGGGATCGAGTGCACTGGACCGGCCCAGTTAAGTGATCAATTACGTTTGGTTTTAGGAACCTTCTAGCACGTACCTGTGTGGTTTTATTGGATTTGGGAACCTTTCAGACGGTTCACTAAACCGTTTTGTTACTGTATATTTTTCCTATTTTTAAATTTTTTACTTTTGTTTTTCTTTTTTATTTTCTTTTTTCCCTTTTCTCATTCTCTTTTTACTTTTTTACCTTTTTATTTTCTTTTCAACTAATGTGCATAAATTTAAAAAATGTTCGCAATTTAAATTTTTGTTCACAAATCCCGACAATTTTGGGGAACGTCAAAAAATGTTTCCATTTTCAAAATTTTGTTTGAAAAATTCAAAAATGTTCATGTTTTGCTAATTTGTTCATATATTAAAAAAATGTTCAGAAACTTTCAAAAATGTTCCCACTTTCTAATTTTGTTCATGAATTTGAAAATTGTTCATGTTTTGAAGAAATTTAAAAAGTTTTGGGAATTTAAAAAATGTTCGCATTTTTTTGTCCACAGATTTAAAAATGTTTGGGAAATTCAAATAATGTTTCAGCTTTCCAATTTTGTTTACAAATTCATAAAATGTTCACGTTTTCAAATTTTGTTCACAAATACAAAAAATGTTCACGTTTCTGAAAAATTGTTCGTTATTTTTAAGAAAGTTCACACTTTCAAATATTTTCCTGCTTTTCAAAAAAATGTTCATGTTTCTGAAAAATGTTCACCAATTCATACAGTGGTTATTCATTCAATTTTGTTCCCGTTTCTTGAAAAAATCTTCGTGTTGTAGAATTAATTTTTTTTGCAAAAATGTCAAGTTCAAAATTTTAAAATAAGTTGAAATCTATCGCGGTTGACAATTCATATAAACTCGGATGCCATCTTAGACATGAAGTTGCAGGTAGTACAGTGGCTAGCGATGTAATAAGTTGTTGCAATGTCGTGGGTTTGATACCTTGCACACACTTAATTTTTTCTGGAATTATCACATGTGTTCGGTCGTAGTTCGCTCTAAGCTGGGCCGGCCCAGTCTAGCGACCCCCTGACCCCCCCCCAACGCGTGCGCGTTTGTTGGACGCAACACGCATCACATAGGAGGTCCCCTCTTTTTCCCTGAAACAGAAAAAAACTAAAGTGTGACCTCTTTCTCTCTCTCTACAACCCTTCTCGTTTTTCTGTGGGAAAACTTCTGATATATTCATCATTAATCATGACAGTGCAATGAATACTAGAAATAATAAAAATTGCATTCAGATTCGTAGACCACCTACCAACGACTCCAAGCACTGAAGTGAGCGAAGGCGCGCCGCCGTCATCGCCCCTCCCCCAGCGAAGCCCAACAAAACTTGTCATAGTACACAGTCGAAAAGTCGTCGTGCTAAAGTCCTATAGCATCAGCGCACCAGAGCCGCAACCACCGTTGTTGAAGAGAATTGTTGATCGAGAAGATCCAACCCTGTAGACACACGAAGACACCCGAACAAAGACCGAATCCATGTGAATACACCGAAGACAAATGACGACCGATACCCACGAGATCC